GAGGGAAGTTTGCAAGTAGGGATTGGTGGAACTCAGGATTTCATCAAGGTCTGCTATTAATATGTTACTGTTATGAAGAAATTTCATTTAAACACTTGCCTTGGATTGGCAGTTCAAAATCATAAGTCTATTTTATATGTTTTTTAAAAATTATGAACACGATTAAATTAAAATCACAGTAAAAACATTAAAACAACTACAGTATCATTTACTAACCCTTTTATTGGACACTAATAAATGCAAATAATTCACATACTTGAAAACAATAATAATTAGGATGAATACATACCAGAAGTAGTGCTCTCTGGCGAAGTATCATCCTCAAAACACTCTTCTTCCTCAAATATAGGACACTTTTCAATGCAACCATTATACCACAACAAATGCAAAGTGGACCAATTAGCCACATCTGCCCTAGGCTATTCAATATATGATGAGGAGATGAAAGGAACGTTGGAATAGTAATATATGTTCCAAGTGATAAAAGGATAATAGATAAGATTAAGTGAGAATAAGATGTACAGTCACAATCCTCCAAAACAGAAGGTTCAGGATATGAGTCTACTAGCTGACGAACTCTTAAACGCAAAACGTTATGATCTGTGTTGGAACCCATAATACTAACTCTCATCAATTTGAATCCCCCTCGGACAATAAAGCGATTACGGGTTCCCCTTCACTGCTGAAAGAAAGCTGTCAAAACAACCTACAGATAGCGATGTTCCAAACAAAGAGGAACAAGTTCAAAATAACATGAAAAAAAAAATTAAGATGAGTATGGATATTAAAGATGTTTTTCATTTATTTTTACCATCACGTGTCTAACGAGTCCTATATTTTTGCTCTTTTTAATTTTAATTTTCGGAGGACTTTTTTTTTTCCACTTCCTTTTCTTATGCTGGAACTCAGGTTTCCATACCATAGTTACTACCGAACTCATGACTGATATTTATTAACCTAGCTTTGCAAGAGAGATTTCGAAAACAGACTATCTTAAGGAAATGATGCAAATATTTACATCCAACTGCCACCATTGCTTCTATTTCTTCTTTAATTTTATTTTTCGTTTTCCGAACTAACCCTTTTTAACACTACTCTCTACGGAAGATTTTGGATTCAGTACTTTGTAAGTTCTGTTTCCTCAAGAAAGCCGCCACGTTTTTCCTCATGATTATTATATTATTCCTCCAGTGTTTGTCCTAATGGATCTAAGTTTATAAGACTAAATTTAACAATTCAGGAGAAGACAGATCACCCTATTTGAGCCATTGTAACGATCTGAACCGCTTTTGAGACAAATTAATGAGAGAAACTATACTCTACATCACACGGAGTACAATTTCTCGCACCAACTAAACAAGGATAACTGGGTAGTTATCCTTATTTAGTTGGTGCGAACTAAAGTTACGTTTAGTTACGTACTAAAAATAAACTTACGTACACGAAAGCTACGTAGTCACTGGTGTACTTAACGTAGTACACCAGTACTACGTAGCTTTCGTATACAGTTTGAAGGAATTAGTAAGGATGGATCATATCAAATTTCTCCAATAAAGGAGAAGAGAGAACATTAGAGAATAGTAGTGCGATACTTCTACTTAAATCCGTATTATCAAGAGACAAAAGAAGACGGGAATATTTAAATAGTCTTAGGCCATTTCAAACTTCAAAAACCCTTGAAAACTTGTGCCAAATCTCCAATCGACAAAGTAATTTTGTTAGCAAGTATCACGCGATTTCCTGCTAATTCTGACACTCAAAATTTCTTGCAGTTTTGCTCTATCCATTCAGTCGTGGGCTTCCTTAAAATCTACAAATATATGGTTTAATTTATACAGCTTTTATACCTTCCTCAATCAAAGGATCAGCATTATCTGCCTCACTTGACAAAGCTGTTTATTTTCAACAAATCTTTCCACCCATCAGAGTACCTTATCCTTATCTTGATCGCCATTGAAAGTACTTTATAAGCGACACTAAGGGACCCTATGACTCTATAGCTGCTCGATGATTAGTATTACACATTTTAATGTATTAAGCGACAGTGCTGTGCGTTATTCCATTCCTGCGGTATATGTTCAGCTATCCAGGAAGGTCTGTAGTGGATATGGTTGTGGAGGTGGAGAGTACTGATGGTGAGTCGTTATTCATACATATTCTGTTGTGGGTATTGACTTGCTATAATAGTGGGTATTAATGGATAACAAAAAATAACGCATTTATTTTTATTTCGAAACCTGTTGTGGCATTCTCACTATTCCCAATAGTGAGGTCCTGTTTATAATCGAATATACTTGTGTAATTCCAGCAATACGATTTATAATTATTTATTTAAATGTGGTGACCGTTATTATGATCTGTTTTGGAGTTAGTTTGAAAAATATTTGCGAGGTAAATTAGTTCACTGAAGGATGTACAGAAAAACACATTTGGACGCAATTGTCCTTAGTTACGCTATTGTTAGAAAACCTGTTCCATTACAACCCATTAAGGGTCTTGGGTTCAACACTGTTTCTTGGTCAACGGTTGTGCAAGGAGGTGATTTGACCGAGATCATGTTCATCCACCAGGTTTTTTTCCTTAATTAATTTAGGGTACCTACTTTATAGAGGTTGAGTGTGTCCCAAAAGGGTCTCCCGACCCCAGGGTCGATTCACGGCTGATGAAACAGAATAAATAATTTATCTTCCATAAGCCGGGATTCGAATCTGAGACCTTGAGCATTGGAAGACCAGTGCCATACCACTCAGCTACCACAGTCCCCAACTGTCAGAGATGGGCAAATGCTACTCTGAATACAAATTATTTTACTCAAATATTGACCTTTTTGATTACCAGGGAATTTAATTACTACTTCATTTGATGTCAAACAATTAACTAAAGTAGTGATTGAATTCCTAATAGTGATTCAATTTAAGCAAAATACTTGATTTCGCTTCTCAGAATAACATTTGTCCATCTCTGACTACTGTTATAGACATAGTTAAAATAAAATTTGAAAGAGGAAGTGTGTTGCTGTCAAGGAATCAAGACCTAATCCTAATAAGAACAACCGAATTTTCTAGAGAACTTATTATGAGAGATCCCTAATTTAAAAAAAAAATGTGGTAAAAAAATTTAATTACATTATTGTTGTTTGATATTCATTAATTCACTAAAAATAATCAATATAACTTTATTTGGACACAGCATCTCTCTAGGATTGAAAATCGATCCTAAAATTGTTGGAAGTAAATGTTATGGGTACAATCTTCTAACTTGTTGATAAGATTCTCTTTGTAAAGTTAGATTCCGGTAATCAGCTGAAGATAGTTGATCTTGTTTTTAAGTTTTCCAATTTATTTGTTTAGCTACTACTTCTCTGTAGAGTAAATATAGTGTTAGTATTCATTGATTTCGAAGTAGTGACATTTTATACAGTTACATTAAAGTATCATCATGCTAGTGTTGGTGCTTGGTGATTTACATATACCTCATAGGTGCAGCAGTTTACCTGCTAAATTTAAGAAACTTCTTGTTCCAGGAAGAATTCAACATATTCTGTGTACAGGAAATTTATGTACCAAGGAATCTTTTGATTATTTAAAAACATTAGCCAGTGATGTGCATGTTGTTAGGGGGGATTTCGATGAAAACATGAACTATCCAGAACAAAAGGTTGTTACTGTTGGTCAGTTCCGCATTGGATTATGCCATGGACATCAGGTAATTCCTTGGGGAGACCCACAGTCGTTGGCTATGGTGCAAAGGCAGCTTGATGTTGACATCCTCATTTCAGGACATACTCATAAATTTGTTGCTTATGAGCATGAGAATAAGTTTTATATTAATCCAGGATCAGCCACTGGCGCTTTCAATCCTTTAGATCCAAATGTAACTCCATCATTTGTTTTAATGGATATACAGAGTACAACTGTTGTTACATATGTATATCAGTTAGTGGCTGATGAAGTTAAAGTTGAGAGAATTGAATACAAGAAGAATTGATCTATGATTGAGTCCATTGTTCACTTTGAATTGGATTGACCAAACAATATGTTTGAAGACTTACATTATTGGATAACGTACAAATTGTAAGTTGTGTTTGAAGAACGCTTAAAAGTGCTATGACTGTTAGATTATATAATCATAAATCTATAATGTATACCTAATTTATAGATATTAATTTTTTATGTAATTATCATAATTAAGTAAGTTATTTTATCAACACTTTAAATTATATATTATAAATCTCAACATAGTACTATGTTATTGTAAATATGATTAAAGAATATTCTTTTATTTCCATTGTTATGATATTTATGTTATTATTTGGTATTAACTACTCTAAATAATTTTATAATTGAAGTGTATAGAAACTACTTTACAAAATTATCAATTCCAAGTATTTAATAGTTCTTTTATCAATAAAATATCTTTTGGTTTAAGAAATAAAATTATCTGTTATTTGATTTGATTATTTAAATAAAAATAAATATTTTATTATCAGTAATTTTGTTTTTTTAACATAATAAATATGTACCTCCCTATTTCTTTATAATAATTAATTTAACTTATTATTTAAACAATGAAATATTCCTTCCTTGACCTACTTAAGGTTGAGGGGGCTGGAAATATGGAGAATCAGCTGGTGTTTGTTTATGGTGGTTGCAGAGAAATGGTTGTGTTACCCTTTTAATTGTAAAGGAGGCATTTATTGTAAGTTGTTGATAAAACAATACAATATAAGATAAAGAAAAGTTATAAATATTTCTCTCTAACAAGTAATATGCACAGTCAATATTTAAAATATTCAATGGTTGATAACTCAAGTATTTGCAGTTTGTTGTATCTGTCAAATCATTCTAAGATAATCTAATGGTTGAATATATCTAATGGTTATTGAATCACTTCAACAATTTAAGCATGTATAAATGAATGATTGTCATACTCTGTAATAATTTTTGAACATCTGTAGGAAATACCATACATTAGTTAAGGTAGTTAGTTCATTTCATTAAAAAAAAAATCTTTAATTCTGAAAAAAGTATAAATTAATATGTGCAGTTTTGTGGTTTATGTAAATTTTAAGGATTTATTAAATTTTATGTTTGTTTCGCAAGTATTACACGTCAATACTCTAAATTAATTATCCTATGCAAGTTGAATTATGATCTATCTGCCAAGAAGAAAACTGGAAAAGAAGGTGTAGATGTTTTTTTTATTAGTCAAATTTCAAATTAGCAGAAGTTATTTAAGCCGATTTACATATTTTTTGTTTTTATATAGTTCACTTTTTATTATACTATTGATTAATCTTTTTACAATATTATGTTTGTATTTTTATAATTGTATACAATGTTTAAAGAGTTACCTTATATAAGAAGAAAGAAAAATTGAATTATACCTGCGTACAAATGTCATTCATTTTCTTTTGTTAATATTCTTGAAGTGAATTTATTAATATAAAACCTTCGAAAAATGAATACAAACTATAAATATTATTCAATTTTATTTAATATTTATTGTTTTTTGTTATTGAGATTTATGTTTGCAAGAAACAATTATTTTCCCAAAATTTTAATCATAAATTTTTTGTATAGTTGCATTCAATTTATGATTTTGTATTACTTATACATTCACATTAGTTAAATAAAATTATATTAAATAAAAAAACTATTATTAGTTGTTTTGTTTACTTAACTCTCAACATAATGTAATTTGGTCTCCTTGTTTATAGCTGGTCTATTAAGATATTTTTATCACGTTTCTTTATGATTGATAATCGATTAGTTGTTATCTTTCTTCTTTATTCTATAGTTCTCAATAAATGCATTCAGTTATCAGAATCAATGAGTCATAAAGAATGAGAGTATCAATAAAGATAAAAAAAAATAATGACACTTCACTTCTAACATTATACAAATATTTTTTAATACTGTTAAAGGATGCTTCCTGGGTGTTCACAAAATGAAACACAAAAGAATGAAGAGGATTGGGAACTTGCCCGGCGGGGGATATGTCTTACTCTCAATAACAGAAATGAAGAAGCTGAGGCATTATTTGAAAATAAAGGAGAATCTGTTCAGCTAGCAATCGGTCATGCTTATGTAGCATTCATGGTAATTGATAATAATTTATGTGACTTACTATAATGATTATTATTTTTATTTATGAAATTGATAGAAATGTGTAGTATCTCTATCAAATTAAATTGATTTTTTGGTCAAACATTGACAAATTACATTCTGTCAAAGCTAGGTTTTTCTTTCAATCTTATTGTTCTGAAAGTATTTAAAAATTTCAGCTTATACAATATGAAAAAAAAAAATTATGTTTTATATAAGTTTGTGACTTATTACTTAGATGATATGTATTAAAATTAATAAATATTGTTTATTTGGAAGAAGAGTGTCAATTCACCAAAAAATATATATATATTTTTTTTGTCATAGTCTACCTCTTTCATATACATTTCTTTGAAAAATCAGATATTTAGTTTCAATATTTACTATGATAAAATACTATTGTTAGGTTAGCAAATATTAGTGTATTCTTACTAGTCAAATATAATGACTTCATTCAAATTGAGATTAGAGAATAAATTTTATAAGACCCTAGATATAATAATAATAAATATAATAGATAATAATAATAAATTATATTAATTAATGCTAGATGTATTACATATTATATATATAGGGGATCAAACAGTATAAAGTTTGATTCTGTATGAATTATTAGAAACATCATTAATTCATGTCAAAATATAAAATATTTTAAATTTATTTTTATTTTCTCATATAATTTATTGTTTAGTGAAACATTCAACACCAATGTTTCTTTGCTATATACGAACTCTAAAGGAGCTTGTACTGCTTTTTTGTTGTATAAACTCACAAAAAATTAATTAGTATTAACCACGAAAATGTCAGACTTGATATTTTATCAGTAAGTTAAGGGACAGTGGTAAACTTAATTAGGCAAAATAGGCAAACTTTTTAAGCTTATATTGTAAATTTTTACTTTTTTGTATTTTTGCACTCTTCTTCCAATTGGATGATATATTATCTTTAAAAATAAACTAAAATCAACTAAAGTTGCATGCAAATCAAAGAGGAATCAGGCCATAATTTGTATGAATATTGAATTCCTTAAAATTAAAATTAGAATTAACTCATAATATAGTACTGAGATACTTATGCAAACTGACACACCCTCAGTTTTGAGGTATACTCTCTAATTTATTTATAATTATTCACTGCGAAAAACAGTGATTATAAGATCTACATTTTCCTTATTCTATGTTCGCTTGCTCTATTTCCAAGAAGAGGAGGGAAATAAAATTTCTTGAAAGGAGGGGCATATGCTATTGATCTTGGGGGATGAGCAACCCTGTAACTGATATTAAATACGATTCAATTTTGCATCAATATAACTAGTTGTTGAACCATCTTTGGGATAAATATAAAAATGTGAAAAGTGCTGATACAACATGGTACTTTTTGTAAATCGATATTAGCAACAAAAAAAATTATAACATCCCAGGCATATACTTAACTTAAATAGCTAATTTCAGTATTGTACCTTTTTTCGTTTTAAACTATAGTTTTCATACACCTCCCTTTTTGTGAAATTTCATTTTTTGAACTTGGAGGATCTTGAAACATATATTTCTGTTGAAAACCAAGACTCAAAATTTTTCATAATCTCAGTACATTATCTTTCATATACGGAAAGTGGGTTGAAATTTATTTTGTGGCGGACCCATGAAATGAATCTAGCCTTCTCAATCTGGTTAGAAAAGGTTTGCTTCTACCTCAAGAATAACTATTTTAATACATTTATGTTCCAGAAATGGCAAGGTCTGGGGTAAACGGGGGAAAAAAAGTAAATGAAAGTAAAAATGTATACTATCATTATTATTATTATTTTTTAGAATGCCCTGATGACATGTGAAGAGAACAGTTTAGAAAAAGCAACTGGGATCTTAAAAGATGTGGAGTCAAGATGTGCTCAAAATCTGGGGTGGCTGAGGACTATGAAGAACAAAGTCTTCGGAAGAAATGTATGTTAAGTGTCTTGACAAAATTTTGTTTTTTTTATATAATTTGAGTATGGCGATTAATCGAAAACATTTTTTTTTTCTTTTTGTTAAATAATTCCTTCTCCTGAACCTTTGCTCATCATCAGCTGATCATTTCGGAGTCAGATTCAATATGAAAAATCCTTGTTTATTAATATGATATTTAAGTTTGAAATAATTGTCTTTCTCTTATTTATAAAATGTTTTGGTAAACTAAATAAAAAGGAAAAAATATATACATATTTTTTGTTTAAATAGGATCTCAGTACTTATGAAAGCCTGGAGCAACAGATAGCATTGGCCGATTGCCAAGTTTGTACGGCTTTCTTATCTTTGATGACTCAAGATTCGACTGCTGGATGGGTAAAAGGAGGTTGGGCGTTGAGAAAGGCATGGGGTTTGTACCACAGCACGTATAATTATTTGGCTGGAGAATATAAGAGGGTATTCGGGCTAAATGTTGAATTGCCTGGTTAGTTTATGAATAATATCCAATTATATTAAATTTAAAAAATATCATTTGCAATAAATTGTTATATTTTTAATAATTATATCGTTCTCAAAGGTTCCGATACAATACCATGGAGAATATTATCACAGAAGGGTAACGCAAATACAGCTACAACATCCCTTTCTCCTAATGGTTCATGGTCGATTCCAAGCACTCCATCTGCTGAGACGCCTACCAATGGATACAAAAGACATTGGACGAGGGTATTTTCTACTCTTCAGTCACCGCAGTATGAATTTTTTCTGTTATTAATATTTCTACTATTAATAGAATATTTCTAATATTAATCGCATATAGGCGATTCTCGAACTAGATAGTCAACTTCTGGAAACTATGTACATTTGAAAATAGGCTCTTGGAGATGAGCCTTCTCTTTAAGCATTAGGCTAAACATTTGAAGGATATGATGATCAATTTGTCAGAAATCACATTGAGACTTGTTATTGGCCCATAGTTGAAGAATTAATAATAATAGTTTAAGAACAAATATATTAAATGGCACTACATCCCAATTATTTGAGACTTGGCCTGCTACAGCATGGATTTCAGTTCTCCCGGTTAGTTGCTGCAGTCTTCCAATTTCTGACACCAAGTAGTCTACATGCATCAGCAGCCACACAGTCCTGCCAGCGCAAACATGGTCTTCCCACTCGTCTGTTTCCAAACACAGGCTCATTCATAGCTCTCTTTGGGAGTGCATTCATATCCATCCGCGCGACCTGTCCCGCCCAGCATAAACGACAAATTGGCTCACTTCCAGGTCATTAAATAATGTCTTTATTTCCAAATTCGTTCTCCTCCTCTAATTCTGTGGTGTTTCCTGGACCCCTCCAAATATGCGTTGTATAATCCTCCTTTCAAATCTGAGCAGGGATTTCTCAACTGCTTTTGTTAAACTCCAGCTCTCACAGCCATATGTGAGCACTGGTCTAATAAGAGTTTTATATATTCTTATTTTGGCCTGTCTTGACAACATTCTACTGCGAAGATGTCTTTGGAGGGAGAAATAGCACCAATTAGCCACTGCGATCCTCCTGTCTATCTCACAATCAATGTTATTTCGTGCATTTATCAATGAACCAAGATATACAAATTCGTCAACATTCTCGATTCCACGCTGTTCCAGCCATGCTTGGTTTTCCCTTATTAGATGTGAGGATAGGGTGGACATATATTTTGTTTTGGACGTGTTGATAATAAGACCGATTTTGGCTGCCGACTCTTCCAGACTTGTAAAAGCTTCCTGTACTGCCGCAAACGATCTTCCCATTATATCAATGTCGTCCGCATATCCAAGTATTTGGGTCATTCGATTTAGGAGGGTTCCTGTAGTCTGGATACCAGAATCCCTTATTACTTGTTCAAGGGTAAAGTTGAATACCAGACATGCCAGAGCGTCTCCCTGCCTTACACCTGTCGATCTTCTAAACCCCTTTGACAAGTCACCTTGTACTCGTACAAAATACTCATTACCCTCCATTGTCATTCTAACAAGCCTTACAAGTTTTTTAGGTACATTCATTTCTACCATTGCTTTGTATGCTTCCTCACGATTTATGGAATCATATGCTTGCTTGAAATCAATGAAGATGTGATGTGTACCAATTTGATATTCTTTGGTTTTCTCCAGAAGGATTCGTAAGGTGAATATTTGGTCGATGGTTGATTTACCCTTAATGAATCCGGCCTGGTATTTTCCGATTTCAGCCTCGGCATAGGAAATTATTCTTCTATAAAGGATCCTTGAAAAAATTTCATATGCGGTGGGTAGAAGGCATTTGCCCCTGTAATTATTACATTGATAGACGTCCCCTTTTTTGTACACTGGGCTTATAATGGATTTTTTCCAATCACTTGGAAGCTCTTCATCAACCCAAACGGTATGAAACATTTCCTGGAGGAGTTTTATGAGCTCTTGACTACCATGTTTATAGAACTCTGCAGGGATGTTATCAATGCCTGGGGCTCTATTGCTTTTTAGTCCTTCTATGGCTTCATTGATTTCTTCCTCTTCTGGGGGTTCTACGTCTTCACCACCTGTAATAGGATCATTTGCCTCTGAGACATTTGTGCCATTTCTGTTAAGAAGAGTTGAAAAGTATTCAGCCCATCTGTCCGAAATGCCTTGTTTATCAGTTACCAAAGAACCATCGTTTGCTCTGCATCCTGTGGTACGGGCGATGAAGGGCTTTCTTCCTTTATTAAGAACCTGGAAGAATTCTCTAGTATTTTTGGAGATGAAGGCCTCTTCTATCTCCTGTAGACTCTTATTCTCTCATCGTCTTTTCTGCCTCCTCAGAGCGTCCTGACGTGCTCCCCCATCCGGGGCCCCCCGGGGCGGCTTCCTAGGGAAGGTGATCCTAGGGTGTGTTCTGTTAGTGACCTTGTGTCAGTGTGAGTGAATTGTGTACTGTCATGTGGGTTTTGCGCAGTGTACTGGACTCAGGAGGCCGGAGGAGCGTCAGTCCCCACTAACTGTGCGCTACAGCTAACCCCTGCGGCACGGTGTATAAGAACAAAAAGGATTCTATTATTGAAAAAAAATACAGATTGTTCTTTATTATATTTAAATTAAATAATTTTTTTTTTCAAATCAGGTTATTGCTTCCATATGTATATATATTTTTAGCTATGGTGTTTATCGAATATTTAATAGTTGACCGCTGCATTATAAAGGAAGGAGATGGTCCGGGGTGGCGGTCATAAATAGGCTAAGTAGTGGCAAAACTATTTTATTAAAAGCCAACGTTTCGACCCGACTTTGCAGGTCTTCTTCAGGGCTAGAACGGACAAGATACAAAAAGGTAGAGAATTGTGGAAGTTACATAATATTTAGACAAAAAATTATAAACAATGTGAATAAGCTTATTAAAATTATAAACAGTAATATAAATATAAAATATAAACAGAGTAAGCTAAGTAATAAGATCCTAAACTGAAGTAAATAGATGGTAACAATTGTTGTAGTGTAATATATAATATATGCAAATGTGAGTATACTTCTGCAGATCTACAGGAGAGATTGAAAGAAAAGGAAAAAGGATATAATATGAAATAATAGACATGAAGGAATGTGGAGAAAGAAAAGAAAACCAAAAAATTAAATAAATAAGTAAATAAAATTAGAGATTTACAGGTATGTTCAGCTAGGAGTTTCACTTAGAACTGGAAAACCTGCCCTCACCCGGGCATTTACTTATTTATTTAATTTTTTGGTTTTCTTTTCTTTCTCCACATTCCTTTATGTCTATTATTTCATATTATATCCTTTTTCCTTTTCTTTCAATCTCTCCTTAAAATTAAATTACTTCAGTTTAGGATCTTGTTACTCAGCTTACTCCATTTATATTTTAATGTACTTACTGTTTATAATTTTAATAAGCTTATTCACATTGTTTATAATTTTTTGTCTAAATATTATGTAACTTCCACAATTCTCTATCTTTTTGTATCTTGTCCATTCTAGCCCTGAAGAAGACCTGCAAAGTCGGGTCGAAACGTTGGCTTTTAATAAAATAGTTTTGCCACTATTTAGCCTATATATGACCGCCACCCCAGAGCATCTTTCTTTATGGTGTTTATTGTTTCTGCACCAGATTGTGCGGTGAAGAAATCAGAAGGTTGATGTCAGCTGCTTGTTTTGGTTATGGCCTCTTTCACCTGTGTATATCCATGCTTCCCTCGACATTATTGCGTCTGATACAAATTCTTGGGTTTTCTGGAGATCGTATGATTGGCTTAGATGCTCTTATGTTTGCAAGACATGGACCTGATATGAGAGCACCTCTAGCTACGTAAGTCAAATTTATTATATATAGAAAAATTTATACATAAAATTATATGAGATCTCATTATGGTTTGTTGTGTTTCCCCATCAGTTTAGCTTTGCTGTGGTATCATACTATAATGAAACCACTCCTTGCTGTAGATGCAAGAATGATAACAGCTAGTATTACTGCTGCTGAAACCCTTCTTGAAGAATCTAAAAGTGACTTTAGTCAGTCAGGTTTATTTTTATTTTTCCATGGAAGAACTTGCCGTTTAAAGGTAATAAATATGCTTCTTTAAAGTCAATAAATTAATTGCTACTAATTTCTTTTTCTTTTGTTTATAAAATACAAAATGCATGCTATTAAAGAATAACAAACCTTGATGGTAATCTCATTGATATAATTAAAGTATTATTGAATGAGATTAGAATTAAGTTTGTAATTATGGCTAATGAATATTAATTTTTTTTTTAATGATTAAAATGTTTTTTTTTTTAAGAGTAATGTTTATATTTCCTGATTAATTGATTTAACTAAATGTAATATTACCTATTCCTTAAATAATAAATTTGTACAAGGATAAATAAATCATTAAACAAATAATCTATAACCTCAAATAAACTGACATGAAATTATATCATAAATAAGTTTATTAAGGAATTTCTTGTTTTTGAGGGGACACTGTAACACTGTCAACTGTTTAATTGGTTTGTCTTGGTCATATTTTATTTTTATTTTTATTCTAAGCAGTGTAATTAAGTAAGTGAACAATCGCACTTTTTTTGAAAATTGAGTTTGAAATACCTAAGCATTGCATGTTAGACTAAGTGTTTCCACCATGTTTTTTTCAATTTCCTTTTTGGTCGGCCAGATTTTCCTTCTCTTGCACTAAAATATATATATTATGTATCGATGTATTAATTAATCGAATTATTTAGAAATGACAGCCCCACCACTTTGTTTTGTATAATTTTATTACCATTTTAATATGTCAATTTATGGCTGAATTCATTGGTGTAAATAAAGCTATAATTAAATGAGGAAGTGGCTAAAATATAATTATTTTTGTTATAAAAAATAGATAAGTATTAATGGCATTAGAGTATTTTTGCTTAAAAAATTGCAGGTTTCCTGTTCGCCGTCTAGCTAATTATACCTCTGGTTTTACACCAGTAAACTCAGATTTCAGTTGCATAACAAAGCAGATAATTTACTTAATCAAGTAGATCAATATAAAAATATATATATAGAAACGTAGATAAATGTAAACTTTTTATTATTTTTCTTCTTTATGAATGATATAGAACTTTAAATATTTCTATTGCTAAAAGTGAGCAAAGCCAAGAACACCTTTTAACTTTTTTTTCAAAATGTATGACTTTTAAAATCTTCAAAATCTTTTTAAGGATTTTTCTTAAAGTCACAGTTGGTGAGGTTGGCCCACTCTGGTTCTCAGTGCCTCAATTAAGGAGTTTTTATTTAGATAATTACAGAAGAATATATATTAGAAAATATTTATTATTAATCGTTCCTAGAATCCCTTATGGATCCGTGGGACACATGGCCGCTACAAAGTTCTGCCAGGCATCTCAATCTTTAGCCAGATCCTTGACTCCAGACCAAGTCAGTCTTGTGCTGATCATTTTCTTCTCTAGAATTCTCTTCCAAGCTTCACTAGGCCGTTCGCATCTTCGCTGTCCTTGGAGATTCCACTCCAGACTCTATCGTGTTATGTCGCTGTGCTTCTTCCTAAGTACGTATCCTAGCCATCTCCATTTGTGATTTTTAATGACTATTGGGCTTGGTTAGTTCGCGATCAGAGCTTGGCATTAGAAATTGTTTCAGGCCACCATGCTCGCAATATATTCTGCAGACATCTATTGATGAATGTCTGTAGCCTCTTGGTTACCTGCTTGGTAACTTTCCAAGCCTCAAAGGCATATAGCAGAACCGACATGACATTTGTTTTAAAGATGCAAAACTTGGTCCCCCTCCTGATTTCCGCACTGTCCAAAACTGCGAGAATGCTATTTGGGCTTTCCTTATTCGACTTCCAACATCTTCATCAGCCCCTCCATCCTGGCTCACCATACTCCTAAGGTAGCAGAATTTAATAACCCTTTCTATTATTTGATCTTCTATAATGCAATTTTCTTGACTCCAACTATTCACTCACATCTCTTTCATTTTAGTACCAATTATTTTGAGACCGGCACTTTGAGCTTCCTCATGGAGTTCATTTAGTTTCTCCTACATAACCCTGAAACTTTGGCGAAGTAACAAGAAAATATGTATTGGTACCATTTAATGTCTTTAATATAAGTACTCTTTTTAACCCTGAGTTTTAAACTTGTTTTGAAAATAAAAAGCAGTTTTTCCTGCCTGCATTTTAATTTTAATTTATTAATGAGCTCCATATAATGTTTTTGATCTTGTTTGAAACTAAGTGGATTGCTTTGACTCATAAAATAGTTTATTCCCATCTCATTGGAAGGCTTATAAATTAAATTTTAGTTTATAATTGGAGAAATTCTGCATTTTAGAGTCTCAAGGCTTTGTGTCCTTATGTTTTGATTATAGCCTGGGCATAGTTAACCTTTAAGTTATAGAATCAAACTTTGAAATTTTCATTACTGTTATTGGATTTATAAAATTTCAGAACAAAATAGAAGAAGGGATTAACGCGTATGAGTTAGCTATGCAGAAGTGTGGGCAGCGCGAATTGGGCTTACTCTGCCTACATGAGATGGCGTGGTGTTACCTGATTCAGCTAAACTTTGGAAAATCTCATGCCATATTCAGTGAACTTCTTGAAAAATCCCAATGGAGCAAAGTTTTTTATACTTATCTCACAGCAGGTAAAGAAATTAAATAATTGTCTTTCGATTTACTTTCATTTACTTCCAATCTGCTAATCTTGGCATATAAAGGAGGGAGCAGGATTTGTTCTAGAGTTTCAACCAAAACTATTCTAACCAGAAAGCTTTTCTCTCTGGTTGAGATATGTTCCTTGGATCTGCCATGAAATAAATTTCAACCCACTCTAGCCAAATTCGAAACTGTTGGGGTTATTTTGTTAATATTAAAAATGGTCTCTGAATTGAGCCAGAGAATAGTGTTTATGTTATTTATACTCTTTTATATTTTTAGAATCTATAACACATGTGCCTTATGGATGAAATAAATTATTATTTATTATTATCTGAATTTGCCTCTACCCGATAGGGTCATTGGCAATTCTTTCTTCACTCCAGTTTCCTATATTCTATTATAGAATCCCGTTTTTTTCAAAAAGCTCATCAGAATTTCTACATCTTTCTCGGTATCTTGTAATATTTCCTGAAGAGTACTTTGTAGGTCAAGGTTTTTTCTTGTGGCTGCATAATATTCACAATCCACGAGTATGTGGTTCACGGTTCTATTGAAACCACATCTGACGCAGGTAGGTGGCTCTCGACCGTGGAGTAAGTAACCGTGTGAAAATTCGCCGTGTCCAATTCGGAGGCGGCACAAAATTATTTCCTCTTTTCTTGATTTCCTGTTACTAGTGCACCATTTAGCACTGTTTGCTTTTATTTGAACAAGTTTCTTCTCCAGGTCTCATTCCATTGAGCTATTATCTGGGATTTTGCTTGCCTCACCCATTCCTCTCGAGGAACATAATTAATGGATTTTACCTCATTATTGACATTACTTCTGGCTATTCGGGATGCGGCGTCTTCCTTTTCGTTGCCCTGTATACCACAATGAGACGGAGCCCAAATAAAATTGTTTTATTTCCTGCTCTTTTACCGATCCAAATATAAATTATATTGATTAAATATAAAATATTTAAGACAAATAATAATGAAATCAAACAAGGGTAATGAATAAAATTCAAGTAAAATGGACTTAAAACAGTGTTTTTTTTTTAAAAGAACAACATTCCATTAATATTTACTATTTACAATATATGCATCATCAATAGACATATTTATTTATTTTTATAAATTAATGAACTTCTTAATGGTAATTCTGTCTATAGATAAACTTTCATTAGAACATTTTTTGATCTTAAATATTTAATCTCAATCAAGCTTAAAAAAGGCTTCCTCTAAAACTTATTTGTTATTTAATTAAAAGACTTGTTTTGTGTTTTTTTACTCAATTTTTGTAGTAATTTTTTTTTCATTTATAATAAATAAATATAATTATAAATTATGCATTTTTAGTATTTGTATTCTCAGACATATTAGTGATGGAAAATTATCATTAAATATGGAAAAGTCAGGAAATTACTTTAACTGTCTGGTAGCCACCATGTTAAAATTAATATTATAATAATTGGTCATTATGATGTAAATAATTTCTCTTAATTTTTTTCAGTTTGCAGTGGTTGTCTTGGAAACAAGGCTTCTTTGGATCTCTTAGCGACATCACTGTTACGACTGTCTGGGAGCCTGTCTCATCTTGATACGATGATATCTCGGAGGTCGAAATTATTACTTCCTTTCAAACCTTCGTTCTATTACAGGCTCCTTGCTTACGAAATGATCTACCTCTGGAACAGTTTGTCTTCTCAGGAAGAATTGAAATCTATTCTTTTAGGTATGAAATTTTTATGTAACAAATTTTTCCTTATTTGATTTTTTGTATGAATTAAACAATTGTGTTAAGATTCCAAATTGAACTGTTTTGTATAAAACAATCTGGTGCGCAACACACAACTTTCACTTACCGCTCAACTTTGAATAGAAATTATTTTCTGGCCATGTTGGGCTATTATAAAATTTTTGAATAGCATTTTTAACTGAGCTAAAGCTAAATGCTTTCAGATGCAAATCATAAATACCATCAAAATAACAAAAGTCCTATTTATTATATCATTGGTTGATTATGGATTGTACGACTATTAGTTATTAAACTGTTATTTTCCATTGCAAAGTTTGCTAAAACGGAATTAAGAGATTTGCATTGTCTGTCATAGACAGGTCAAAAGTTGTCGCACTAATTGTAAGTGGATACAGTGGAATAACACAAAAGGAAGTTTCACAAAATTATTCACTAATTTAATTGTCTAAAAGGTTACATGATGATTTTTCAGAATAAACGGAATATAGATACCTAAATATTAAAATATAATATCAGATCTAGAGTTATTAAACTACAGTAAATATATTTAAGATTATAAACGTATCTATGAAATATTTTTCACACAACTACAATGAAATAGTAGTGGATACTGTTGGAATATCACAAAGGAAAGATTCATCAAATTATTCACTAATTTAATTTTCTAAAAAGTTACATGACAATTTTTTATAATAAACGTTGATACCTAATTATTTAAATATAATATCAGATCTATAATCACTAAACTACAGTAAATATATTTAAGGTTATGAACATATGCTTTATACATCCATGAAATGATTTTATATTTTACTTCTTCTTTCACACAAGTACAATGAAATAGTTTTTTTAACAATGCCATTGCCTTGATTAGGTGGATTTTAAATACTTTCTACAAACATAAAAATATTTTTAAAGTTTACATTTAGTTAGTAAATTCCATTTAATTTCCTTGAAAACATGTGATTTACGTTAAATATTAGCAGTTTTCAACAATTATTATTTATAATTTTTTTGCCAGTCTCCGTTACCTACTACAACTTTCTATATTAGATATTGTTTTTTCTAAAATTTTCCACTTTCCAATGATATATTATTTATGCGTTAACAAACACAATAACTTGCAACAACAATATAACTGTCTGTCCAATACCAGCTGGCATTTACCATTTAGGATTTGGAATTATACCAAATCCTAAAACAAAAACAAAACAATTTAATAGTAGTTCAATTTTTTAAAAATTTACATACTGTTATTTGGAAATAATCCCTAGTGTTTTAATATGCAACGTTTTTGATTTTTTATTAATTTTTCCTCACTTTTGAATAAAGATTTCATTTTTATTACAAATGTATTTATTTCACTTCACATCTCCATGAATTTCAACTCTGTCAAGGAGGTGCATATGATATAATATTAAAATCAACATGAATAACATTTGCTTTGCAGAAATAAAAATCTTTTAATCCAACTATTTTTACTTTCACTTACCTCTATATGAAATATATAGTAAGGAGAAAGTATCGCAGTTGTGAAAACATTTTAATCCAAATTTTCAATGGAAATACATTTATAATTAAAGTTATAAACAATTGCTGTAAATAATTATTGGATGGAAAATAAATGTTGCAGAAAATTTGAAATTTTATTTTCACCTTGACAAACATAACATATATATCAACAGAATTGTAATACTTTAAATTAACTTTTATAAGTTTGTATTAATAATGAAAGTAATATTCTTAAGGTTTGCTAAGTTTAAATATTTTAATGTACAGCGGCCAAAAAAAGTATTCGTACACCATATTTCTTAGTCAAAAATCTTTTTATTTATATTTTCAACATGAAGCAACTATAAATAACAATTAGAAATTTCGTTTTGCATTAATTGTACAGAAAAAGTAAAATTTTATAACTCATATTCAAAATATTCAAATATGAAACAAAAAAAAAATGCGTACATTTAACTAATTCCAAAGAAAATATAATAAATATCAGTCTCAATTAATTTTAGTATTTTGCTGGGTACTCTATCGCGGTTATCACAGCATTGAGTCTTCTTGGCGTTGATTCCAGGAGCCTCTTGGTTTCCTCTGGTCCAATTTCTTCCCAAGCTTTTCTAAAATTGTTTATTAACTTATTCCGAGAAGAACAATAATATTTTCGGATTTTCAATTCCAGCAGCACTCATGAATTTTGAATTGGATTAAGATCCGGTGATTGTGGAGGCGTTTTGCAAACATTATATAGCAGCCATTCTTTGGTTTTTTGGGGCGTATGCTTAGGATTGTTGTCCTGCTGAAATATATATGTGTCATCCATTCCTAACTTTTGCACACTTTTATTTAAATTACATCACAACACATCAAAATATTTGTCAGCATTCATAATCTCTTCATTAAAGGCTAGTTAAGTAACTCCTTTGCCACTCATACAGCCCAAATCATGACACTGCCATCTCCGTGCTAATTTCCGGAGCCACCTCTGTTGTAATTTTGGTGTTCAAGTGGCTTTCTTTTTTTCCTCCAAACATATTTTTTTCCATCTGATCCAAATATATTATACTTACTTTCATCTGAAAACAACAAATTTTCCCAAAACGTGTAGGGTTTATTTACCCGTTCTCAGGGAAACTCCAGTCTTTTTTTTGTTTATAAAAGGTTTTTTTCTTATTGCTCTACCTCTATAGCTAGCTTCATGTAGTCGATTCCTCATGGTTTGAGGTGTTAAAGATTTCCCATAAGCTAACGCGATTTGAGCCGAAACCTCTTGAGCACTTAATTTGGGACTTTTTGCCACTATACCTACAATTTCACGAGATTCTCGCACTATCAACAAGCGTTTTCTTTCTGGTGGAGTTTATTGTCCACTGATCCATTTTTAAATTATTTATAATGTAATGCACTGTCGTATGTGGTAGTCCGAACTTTTTTCCCAATATTCCGCAAACTTTAACCCTGTTGAAAATGTTTTACAATGTCATCTTTAAGATGAGTATTAAATTTTTTTGACCTATGACCCATTGCCAAGAAATATTCTTTAGCACTGAACTGATTAAGCAATTTCTTGTTCAGTTTTATCGTTTAATTCTCTGAAGTAAAAGATTATAATAGAACGTTAAAACACTGTTTTGATAACAAAAAGATATTGTATTATTAATACTTGCTCTAGTGTACGAATATTTTTTTGTGTACAAATTATTGAAATATTAATGTTATAAAAGTTGTATGAGATTTTAAATTTTGGCACTATATAAAATTAACACAAAATGAAGTTTGTAATTGATATCTGCCGTTATTTCATGTTAAAAAATATATAGTGAACCATTTTGGCCATAAAATTGGTAGTACGAATACTGTTTTTGTCCACTATATACTGAAAGTAGGATGATACAAGAAAGTTTTATGATGCGTTGCACTCAGTTTTTTTATTTTAATACAGATTGTGAATCGAATCAACTAGCAGAAGAGCCTATGACCGGTCTGCTTGCTCTAATTAGAGGTGTTTGCTACATGAGGCTCGGGCAACTCGATAATGCAAAGGAATGCCTTGACAGCGGCGTCAGGCTTCGGGAAGAATGCCCAACTAAAGGATCAGATGCTCATATTTCAGCGTTTTCTCTTTATGAGTTGGCTCTGGTCTATATTACTTCCAAAGAGGTAATTACATTTCAATTTTACACTTAACTTTGTAGTGGGTACTAATATTTTTTTAAATATACACCGAGTAAAATACTTGACTCCTTTAACTTCAGAGCTGTGATTTGACAAAATTTGATTTATCCCATCCTAACATTAAACTAGGTTTATATAATGGCAATAAACTTAGTAAATACATGAGCAACGTGAAGGAAAGAATAGATAAATTATCCAAAAAAAAAAAAAAAAAAAAAAAAAAGAAAGCAATCTACAAATTTGAATGCCAAATTGTCAAAAAAATATATACATCAGAGAAACTTCCAAAAATCTGAAAACAAGAATTATACAACACATTTCAAATTGCAAAACCATAGTAGCAAAATCTTTTAACAATTCACTAATAATTTATAATAATAATAATGTATACAATAATATATGATATATGTTGCCCTGAATAAGTTTAATTATAAAAAGTAATAAACAAATTTCTTTTTAATGATAAAGGAAGCACAGCAGAAAAAAAAAGTATCTTGTAGGGGAAGGCAAGTCAATGCAATTTTTCCTGGCCACTATGAATGGATTTAAGAATCTTACCCAATGCCATGAGTTTTTTCAATTGGCTCTTTCATCTTCAAAGGAATGAAGCATGAGTTTTTCAAAAATTTTCATTTTTCTCATCTTACCCCAGCTACGAGATAATATAAAATGAAGATATTTATTAAGTTAACATAGATAAAATTTTTCTAAACTCAATCAAAACATCTACATATTGCTTATAAATTTACATATTACGATATCTTAGAATTTTCATACATAAAAGGCTCATGTGGAATGTACTTAAAAAATTAAACTTACGAGAAACTGCTTTATCGTTAAAAATTATCTCCATGTCCGTCATGTGAATTTTGATGCCAGGATTATATTAATTTATCTCTATAAATAGCCCGCAGATAATTATAGTTACAAAAGAGTTAATTATTGAAAAGATGGGAGCTGAGTCATCATTTATAATATCCTAGAGCGTTTAATAAGATGAGGAATGGCCAGGAGCTGGATATCATTTCCTAGATGCCCACGGACCATCTAATAAACAAACTCACGAAAACACCAGGTTATGAAGTGTGGGAAACGACTCACATGAAGACATATTTTGTAAATATTTGTACAAGAAATCATGTTCTTTAACAAATAAAAGAAATCAATCAATAATTTAAAATAAGAGAACAATGGATCCATAAATATTCTTCGAATTGTATAGAAGGATCTAACAATAGTGAATATGTTTCTGAGGTTGTGAAAACATTTCCCGAAAAGTTAAACTATATAAAGAAATGGGATAATTAAAAAAAAAAGTATATATTCAAGCTACAAGGAAGTTATAATTCCCAACTTTACCTGTATAATAATATACTTCACAAAAAAATGAATAATAATAAGAAAATTTATTTTCTGTTGTCACTCATAGATCAACTATAGGGTCTGGAGACTTTATGATTATAAAACCTTCAACTTGTTTTTTTTATCTGCACTTAACAATATATCTATATTTTTTAAAGAAATGTTATTATTCAGAGTGTCCATCCACTCAATTCAGATGATTCAATTTTTTCATATTTTTATACTTATGATATTATAATTATATTTATTAATAAGAGACGATTTTGTTCATATCTAGGATATAAATGAAGGAATACGACTTTTAGAAACTGCTCAGACACAGTATAGCTCGTATGACTTCGAAAGTAGGTTGTCGCTTCGGATTCATTCCGCTTTGAGGGAACATAAGGGTCCTCAAAATTTCTCAATTTGGTAACTCAAAATGTGATATTTGTTTGTTTTTTTATAAATCTTAAGTTAAATTTTTGTTAGAAATCTTTTTTATTATTATATAGGGACTGTGCAGCATCATTAGCAAGGTATATTGGTCAAAGTTTTAATATGCACCACATGTGCCTTCATTATTATAATAATAATGTAACAAAAAATAAAATAAAAACATTAGCCTACAAATTCCAAGCTCTGTTATTTAAAAAAAGTTTACTTATTAATCTAGTGTTTCGAAAATATAAAAAGAAGCAAGAAAGTAGTAATTATTTTTCTATCGAATATTTCGCACTGTCCCGATATAAATTCATTTATGTTATATATTTCTTTTATTCCTTTTAATATCAGTTTTTTTAAGACTTAAAATTAATGAAACATATGCAGAGAATCTCCTACTGCAATGGGTTAAATTTATTATTATAATCCCTAACAGAAAGGAAAACATAATTTATAACTTCTTAGAACAAATTTTGTTTGCATAAGATAACAGTTTACTTTTTTATCTACCCACCTTTAGTTTAATTCATGAGTAATTTTTTAACTTGTCTGTTTTGTTTTTTATATCATTTTGTCGAAGACAAAAATTATATATATACATTGTATGTGATATACATTTCAATGCCAGTACATTCTCTCTAACACATTTTGATTAATATAAAGAATATATTATTATCCAAAAAGTGTTGATTCACACTATTGATAAAATTCTATACTTTATAATGATGTTTACTTAATAAGTTATTAGTTTGTTCTATAGTGAAATATTTCTTTAGTTGAGCAGTAGTATTCAGCTACACCTGAACTAATACTAACCTTTATTGTACTCATTAAGACCTCGTTGGAGAGCAGGATTTGTAGTTTATTCACCCATTAAGAGTGGAATAAGAAATTCATCACTGTTATGGTGATGTTAACACCCAAAAAATTGACTTTATTCGTTAACATTCATGTATTTATTTTCTTTTATCTATTTTCTTATCATGTATTTATTTTTATTATGTAAATGAATGTTAACGAATAAATTGATTGAAAATTGAATAACTATTGTTACAGTAAAGTTAAAAAAAGTTTTAATTGATTGAAAATTGAATAACTATTGTTACAGTAAAGTTAAAAAAAGTTTTTAACTTTACTGTAACAATAGTTATTCAATTTTCAATCAATTTATTCGTTAACATTCATTTATTCGTTAACATTCATGTATTTATTTTCTTTTATCTATTTTCTTATCATGTATTTATTTTCTTTATCTTTTATTTCTGTATCTGACAACTTCTTCGTAATTTATATATACTTATATTTATTTTTTATTTTATTTTTATATTTTCAACATGTTTGTATCTTTTGTAGCCCTGAAGACGACCTGCAAAGTGGGTCGAAACGTCGGCAAAAATTAAAATTATTTATATATTTTAATTTTTTTATTTTTTTGATTTTTTTTTTATTAAAAGTATCAAAGACTTTTTTTTTCTATATTATTCGAGATGCCCAAGTGATCACAGAACTATTTTCCTTCATTTACCTTTTCAATATATTGTTAGTTCCTAGTAGACTATCATAAATAGCAGTATTTTAATTTTTAAAAAGCTCTAAACGACATGTGATATGTTTTTTTTTCTGTTGGGTTTAGACCTTTTGCCGCCTTAATAAGCCTACTCCATCTCTGCCTATCTTAGGATTTTTTGTCCAGTTATCTGCGTGCAGTTCTATTGCATCTTTCTTGATTCGATCTGTCCATTTATTTTTTGGTCTTCCATGTGGACTTGCGCCTATTATTCATTGTCATGTAGAGGCTTCCAGATGGATTTCTATGAGCTACATACCCCGTCAATCTAACCTCCTCGCTGTCATCTCATGGAATATTGATTGACCAGTTTCTATAAATAGATGTTTATTGGTCTTTCTCCTCCATATATTAGTATGTCAAGCAATCCATTCACTCACTACAAGATCCCGACCCTCTGACCTATACATCCCTTCTCATAGATCTGCCTCATTCCAAAATTCCTTTATAGCCCGCTCTGTCAACTTTTGGAATTCCCTCCCGATCAAAATTCGACATGCCCCTTCCCTGTACACATTCAAAAACCTCCTATTCCAATTCCTGTTCCAAAAACAGTCAGATACCAGCTAACTATTAATATTATATATGTATTGTGTAGCAATCATATAATTATAACACTTGGTAAGAGATAGTACATGCATTTCCTACTATCGACATAGGAATTTCAATACATACATTTTTTAAAATTTTTTTTTTATTCAATTATAAGTAACTGTTTATTTTTATATATATATTCAAGTAGTTTTTTTTTTTTTTTTTTTTTTTTTTATGAAATGAACTCATTGTATCTCTTTTTCGTTCTTCATTTCTCAAAGTGCATGTTTATGTTGTTCAACCCTTAAATATAATTTTGTTCATAGTTCAAGTGATTCGTTCATAGTTTTAATTGTTTTGTTCATAATTTTAAATGCTCTGTACATAGTTTTATCTGTATTGTATATAGCTTGTGCACCTAAGGTTTTCTTTACTGTTTATTTTATTTTATCAATTTTCTTTATTGTTTCAACGTTCAGGCCAGTAATATTCTATTATTTTGTACATTGTTGTTATTCTGAAGGGACTTAGTCCCAGAATAAAGTTTTTTTTTTCTATTTCTATTAGTACTCTGATCCCAGATCGCTCCAGTTATCATGGTAAGGATGTTTCTCTCAAATATTTCAATTCTAGGACACTGGTTAGTGCCCAGGTCTCACTGCCATATGTAAGAACTGGCTATATCAAAGCATTGTACACCCTTAATTTAAGATTTTTGGAGATTTCAATACTTTAAAGGGAGAAGGAAGTTCTACATGTGATAAGTATCCCGTGATAAACTTGGCATCTAAGAGGCTTTCGGATAGAATTATGGTTTATCTCCAAAATGGTACATTTTAGGGCTTTTAAAAGGTACTCTTTATATCTGTGTCAAAATCTTTAAAACATAATTTGTCCCATATTGATTCTTCAACTTTGTAACATTGAAGTTTTGGAGATTCTTACTTTTTTTAAATTACTTTTATTAAATTTGTAGTACTGATTTATCGATCATAATTAGAAATCATCACTTCTCCATGAAATTCTCTTTCTGTTGAAACATCATTTTTTAAAATCTATTCCTCATGAGAGTCGGAGAAGGGATATATACTACCGTATGTAAAGTAGGTTAATTTTAAGAAATTATTATATTTTATTATCTGTATGTAAAAATGTTCTCGAATAGAAAAATTAAAATATGTTCCATTTGCCTTCGAAAGGAGTTTCTCTGCATATGTTTGTTTCTTAAATACATGTCTGAATGTTGATGTTAAATTGGATTATGGAATAATCCACATTATTATTATTGATAAATAAAAATACTTTCGCTTATGTGATGCCATATTTTAGATTCTATGTGAATTTATTTAAATAATTTAGCACACAATAATAATTGTACGAATTTTAGCTTTTACCAATTGCATGCATGTTCGTATTAATTATATCTTATCATATATTAATTGTTGTAACTGTTTCTTGTTCCAATTTGTATAAGTTTCCATTTTGATATTTGATAGCTTTATATCATAATGGTATGTGCATCATTTAAAAACTAAAAAAAAAAAAAAAAAACTCACTCAAGTTTTATAACTAATAACTAAGCTAATGTATAAATAAAATAAAAAAAGAAATAAGTAATCTAAGAAAAGAGGGGCGCGATTGAGTAATGTTACCACTAATAATATGCAAATAAAGGAATACTTTTATTACCATTAATAATTATAATTTATTCATACTGATAAGTGGGAAGTTATGAGTTTTAGTATTAAGTAAATTTACATCTTTAAACCTTAAAATGATTAATGAACATATAAAAAAAAAGAAAGAAAGAAAGAAAATTATCTGGAAGCATATAGAAAAGAGATTTATGTTTATATTTTTTCAAAAACGTTCCTTTGCCGAGAAAAACAAATTTTTGGTTTTTGGTTCTAAATAAACTTCCCACATGCTTATTATTATTAGACTATTAACATTGGTACTTCAATTAATTGGTCAAAGATGGAATTAAGGTATTTTGTCTATTTATTTATTATATTAATATTTAGATCTGTTATACTGTATTGAAAATAAACTTTAACTATTAACCTTATATAATTCCATCTGTTTATTATTTCTAGTCTTGTGATGTTTAGTTATAATAAATCTATGCATTAAAAAATAAGCATGAATATAAAATTATAATGTCTAACGTATATTTTATTTTTATTCAGAACTGTACAAAGGTGTCTTTTTATTTATCTGTAAAAGTTACTAACCCTTTTTTGTTTTTTTATGTTTCTAAAAATTAGTAACAGATAATATTGATATACTATATGTGGGCTGCAGATGGAAGTTGAAGATATATTTGGATATTTTTCAATGACCTTATCTAATCTCCTCTCCCCCCAAAAATACAATAAAAAAAATTAATAATATAAAAAATAATAAATACACTAAAAATGTTTATTACCTTTTAATTAGCTTTTATAGTATTTCCAAAGTCATATTCAACTGTTTCCTAGACAAATTAAACTTTATGCAAACTATATTGAACTTCCGAATTGTTTTGACTTTTTGTAATTTTTCAATATATGAATATATTATTTTTTTATATTGACAAATTCCGAAAAGTTAAATTAAATCGCAAGTTCAATTTGAAATGGGAGAGGCTGAATTTGGTTTTGAAAAGGTTTAATTTGTCTTGGAAATAATTGAATTTGACTCGGATAAAGTTGAATATGAATTGGAAATTCTATATAATAAATTTTTTTATAAACAAAAAATTATAGTGAGAATATCAACCATATGATAAATTTTCTTAAAATGTGAATTTCTTTCTAATTAATATATATATATATTCAAACAAATATTTTATATACCCAAGATCACTAATTTTAATAAAGCTTTTATTTGTTTTCCACTCTCCCATGCCACCAGGGCAACACGGATGTATGCAGTAGTGTGATATTAAGCATTAATGCATAATAACACACTACTGCCATAATATCGGTTTACAAAATTCTAAGCTGTGCACACAACTAGCTCTTCTACTTTTCCTCATTCTTCAGCAAATTAGGCCTGGCTTCCCAAATCCGGAGGTCTTCCTGGGACTGGTCCTCTTCTCCTTCTGCGTGCACCTAGGTTGAAGTGAGCTGGGTCCACTGCCGTCTTCCAGCCATTTATAAACTCTTTGAACCGCGGGAAGTTCTCTTCACTCACCAACTGAGGAAACTCCTCCTCAGTGAGTACGTAAATTCCCGTGGTTCTCATTAACCTAGCTCTTAATTCGTCGAAAGCAGTGCAGGCCGTGACCACATGCTCAATAGTCTCCGGAACATCACAAGCGGGGCAGTGGGGATCTCTATCCTGTCCGAGGCTATGAAGTTCAGCTCTGAAACCCCCATACCCTGTGAGAAATTATGAAACCCAATAGTCCGGGAGGACCCATTTCGCCTGTAACCGAGATTCGACGGTGGGGAAGTATTTTCTTAAGGTACTGCCTTTCGGAGTCGTCACCAACCGTTATTTTTTCATTTATTTTTTTTAAATTTTAATAAAGCTGTATCCATTGTTCAACAAATTATTATTTCTAATGTTTATATATTATTAATAGTAATAGCACAGCCTAAAAATATTCCAGCAGTCTCCACTCTCTGTTGGTTGGAATAATTTTATTTTGGAGCAACATGGTGGAATTTCAGCCAGTTTGCATAACTCTAAAAAATTACAATGGATTTTTTGTGGTTGTTGCATGTTTTATTTAGCATGGATCAGTTGGAATTTAGTAATCTTCAATGGCTACCTTTTAGATTCTGTCTTTTAGTTTTCTAAATGGAAGCTCTGTACTAAATGCCTTGTT